AAACAGAAATTAACTAAAATATGCCTTTAACAAGTTGTGTTTTCAGCTTAGTCTTAAAAATACTTAATATACTGTCTATCGCACGTAATTCAGATGGAAGTTTGTTCCAGTACAGCTTGGAACCACAAACAGAAAAGGACCACAGTCCATAAGAATTCATATTATACCAAGGTAGGTTTAGTCTAATCGCATCAGTGGAGGAGCGTAGTGATGTATTGGGCTTGTAGACAATCCAATAACTCTTGTAAATACCAAGGGGCTAATCCATGAATACATTTAAAAGTAAGGAACTTTATCCTATAAACTATTCTAAGTAGCCAGTAAAGAGAGTAAATTTCGCTCAAAACAGGAGACATGTGTTCGTGTTTTCCTAGTCTAACAATAATACGTGCAGCACCGTTCTGAATGTTCCGCAACTTCGCAACCAAATGCTTGGATGCACCATACAACAAAGAGTTGCAATTGTCTGTTTTACAGAGGCACCCAACGACAGTTTCCCCCTAAATACATTTAAAACACTTTTTAGGCTATCTAGAATACTTTTAGATCTCTAGAAATGCATTCTAAGCGGCGTTGTAGAATTTGTATCTGATTGGTCATCCTAGGGCAACTTGAGTCTTTTCGAAATTACAAGGGCTTCAGATTTACGAAGGAGAGAATTTTTCTGATTCCTCTCTCCATCACGTTTTTGATTCCGAAAATGTTAGGTTTCCTTTCTTCAACGAAAAATAGCCTGACCTTGAGAGTGAAATATGAAAAACTATACTTCCGATAATCGGAGGGATTTTTTACCGTCCTCAAGCTATAGAAAATTCTAGGTAATATTTGCTTCTCCGAACAGATATTTACCAGAAAACAGTCGTTGGATGCCACTGATTTTAGATAGAACTAACACGACAAGATGACTGATTTTATAGCATATATAGCGTAATTGGGAACCTTGGGGTGTGATGGAAACGCTACAAACGTAGTTATACTAAAAGCCGAAACCACCTCCAAAGATTCATAGCAGCCCCAAATGAGCCACGTCGACATCAAACATAACCCACAACCAAGCGGCCATGACATAAAAAAAAAAAAAAACATATGACCGTGGATTAGGCGTTCGAAAGTGATCTGAAGGTCAGAAAATGTCGGGCCATGCTATTCTTAAGAACCTGTATGAGAAGAAAATGGATGTGATTTTGACCATTAGCTTCAAAATAGAAGCGGAAATCGAGATAAGAAAACATGTGTTTGGCGTCCTACTTACCAGACGAGGCGTATCGGCTTTGTAAAGCATTATGTTTTTACATTCATTCATTGCCATGAAATGCGTGTGCATTGTTTTTTTACTGTTGTCTTTTTAATCCCCTCTCCATCGCATTTTTGAATCCAAAAATTTTAGGTTTCCTTTTTCTACGAAAATTAGCCCAACATCAGGAGTAAAATGTGAGAAGTTAAATTTCAGAAAATGGTAGGACATTTATTACATAAGCTTCGAAAATTGTACCTGAATATGGAACGGTCATCTAGAAATTTCTAGATGAAGTTAATTGCGCAAACATGTTTTGCAAAAACATTATAGCAGAAGGGAGCATGACCTTCCAAAACATCTTTTGTTCATTGGCCGACTTTCGTTATGTAGTATCGGTAACGCCATGCAGCCCGACTAATAAAGGCAAGTAGTAAAATCTTTGTAGCTGAGCGAAAAAGGCCAATCGAGAGTGAAACCTACCTTCGTGGCTTCTTGATTGTCATCGTAGTCGAGCCCGCAACATTTAAAAAGTAGCTGCCTTTGCGAACTGATTGGCCTCAAAAAAGGGCGCACTTTTCAGTTTAATTTATTTCTTTCAGCCATTCTGCATATATTACATTTCGCATAATTATGTCATTCCGCAAGCCATGCCACATGCCGTTCCGCAAACTCATTCCACTTCTTACCCTCACCGCTCCTCGTTTAATCTGATCCTTTTTAGTGTGGTGAGAAATGCTTGTTTCACATGGAACACTTTTGTTGTTTTACAAGCTTCTCTTCGTTAAAACTTCACATTAATGGCCCCCAAATTTAATACAATTCATCAAGTACTCGTGTTTCTTGACTGCCGGGGCCAGGTTTGACAAATAAATTTAGTTAAATGATAAAAACAGGAAGCTTGTGTGAAATTTTGCACTTTTTTTAAAAAAAGGTACCACATTCAACGTCAGCCTGTGCGCCAGGTACCGCCTTTTGATTTGTTGACAGTTGTCACCCCATTGGTCTCAGGGGAATCTACATTTCATCAGGTTAGGGGTTACGAATTACGGGTTATACTTTTGGAAGCTCGATCGAGAATTTTTCTGCCTTTTGCCAAGTCTTGCGCGGCTCTATTCTGCTGCCGACTCGCCATCCTCACGTCTTAGCTCGGATGGCTCTTTGGCAATTCGGTAATGTTGATTGGTTTGCAATTTCCAAAGGGATCATGTGTTTTTCTGTTCCGTCAATCATCTGAGTGGGTACGGTGCTTAAGCAAATCACGAGACAAAGGCGTGCACTTCACCCGCTTGAGATGCCTAAAATCTGTCACTTTTAAGTGAGTTTACTGCACCACTATGAGGCATATTCCTCAAGAAGATAAATACCTAATCATTTACAAGCGCTTACAATCATTCATTTGTAGAATGTTACTGATCAGCCGGGCCTTTATTTTTTCATACTACGGAGCAAGTTACTTACCGAAACATTTTTAGGAACAGACGCAAGCCAGATCCAGAAACAAACACATCACATCAAAAGAAACTCTACCCTTTAGCAAACTCATTAATCTGCGATTAATACTAGCCTCAAACAATTGTATAACAGTACAAATAGCAAGCATTGACCACTCGCCGAGCGCGATGATCATTACCCTAACGATAATATATCCTCTCATTTTTGTACATCATAAGTTGTGATCAGCTGAATTTTGTTTCAATTTTCTTTATACAGCAAACTATCAAGGTATGCAAGTTTTCATTTGAAAGAGATGAGTAAAATGTTGTCATCCATCAAGCAGAAGGGATGGTTTTCTCCTGAAAAGCTTCTCTGCCAACGTTTCTTGTACGAGGTTAAGAACGAAACTAAGAGAAACTCTCCACGGCACGCAAGACAAGAGAAAAGCGCCAAACACAAGAGCGTGAAAGGGTAGATTTTATGTAGTTTCAAAAATGCTTATTTTAAAAGATCATTACGCAACAAATTAAAGCCCAAAGTAAAATTCCAGGACAAAAATGTTAAAAAGACAAAACATGCAAGGTCTTTGTTTTGTTTTGTTTTTTCTTGTACGAAGTTAAGAAACTCTCCTGGGCACGAAAGTCCAGAGTTGAGATGATTTAGGTTGAACTTTTATAGTTTCAAAAGAGCTTATTTTAGCATAACATAAATAACATAGTCAAACGCCAGTGGTGAGGAAAAAACCTTAACAAAGCATTAAGCGACTAAGGTGTAGTTAGTAGATCAATTGCATTTCGAATGGCCATTGTGATGAGATTTTCGTAAATGAGGGAAGAACCGCGGTGGCCACTACTGCGTTGTAGGGTGGTGTCCGTGTTGAAGAGAAGGAAGCATAAAATGGAATTTAAGGACTGTCAGTCGGAACAAAAAGGAGTGACCTTTGTAGAAAAGGACTGAGACGCTACGCAGGTGGCTGTTAGTAAAGGTTTAACTGACTGTGAATTCTACATTGGAAGAAAACTTACCATATTTGAGAACAAGTAGCGCAGATCAACGATTCCCCAAGGCTTCTTAGGTAGTTCCTTCCGTGAAAGAGACGCTGATGTGAATGCACGCTTCACCCGGTACACCTCTTTTATTAGAATTTATATTAACTAACCAATGAAAGTTAACTTCGAAATCTCCAGTTACAAATTTTATCTCTCGTTTCTTTTTAATTTCTCGGCACACTTCAGGTTGGAACCTAATATGGTGTACCTTGCGTGATGAAAACAAAAAAGCATTAGTAAGGACTTTATTGCTGGATCTCGATAAACATACCTCTCTAATGTTAAGGCTAAATATAAAGATAAGCTGAATACCAGTACTGAATACTATACCTTATAAAATGTGATAACTTAACATAGGGCAGAACACTTCCTGGATTCGGAAAGAAATTGATTTTCGTTTACCTTGTGTTAGCAAAAAAACTGAATTTTAAAACAAACTGATCATAACATGGTTTTGTCTATTGCAGTCTTTATCAATAAAAAACAGCCGCCGTCTCAACAGATCAAACTAATGGAATCATGAGGCTATTTATGAGAAAAGGTCAACACGTGTCTTACATAATACACATCTTACGTAAGAATTAAGCAAACGCTGCGTTTTAAATGTCACTCTTCATTTGAAATAACAAACAAGTAGGCTAAGATATGAGACCAGAAGAACCATTGACTGTCAAAGTATTTAGCCCGTGTGGACTAATTGGGGAGGCAGATTATCTAAAAGTGTCCTTGATAAGACTCGTGTTAGCAAAAAAAGAAGAAAACCTCAATAGATGTCCTCCGCGTCTTAGAAGTACACGAAAGCATAATACAGGGCCATCCAACGAGAATATGGTTCAAAACCACTTAAACATAGCATTGTTGAACGTATTTTAGTATTTAAACGGTAGATATAGGCATATTTTTATCCTTGAAAAATTTTTCATCTGTTCTGATTTCCTAGCTGAACGTCTAGTGATCCGGAAATTATAGGGATCAAAACTAATCTTTTTCGAATATTTCAACCAGAAAAAAGACTCCCGAAAATTCTAGGTGACCTGTTTAGGGTAAACTGATCCGTTAAAAATCAGGGGCAATTATACCATTTTTAGATGTTCGAAAATCCTAGGTGAGGCAGGCAAGCAAAAAATTTTACAACAAATGTTGCGAAAATTCTAGACCTCAAATCGCCTTCCGAACAGATATTTTCCAAAAATTGACGTTGGGTGCCCCTGATAATACCCAGGCGTTATTTCAACTTGCCCTATACACGTTGGATTGCCGTTGTTACTGGCAACTTCCACAGGAAAACGATTAAAATAAATGATACACTTTGTGCTGTTTTTTATAGGACACGTCTCATATAAGATACATCATAATTAGTTTCCAAGTAGAAATGAACCTAGAGATACTGTGTGACAGCACCATCAATTTTTCCCCTCTTTTAATTATTTTATTTCAATTTTTTGCTTTCTCCAGCTCTCTTTTTTTTAATATTACAGTAGATTTTCTTTTCCTTTTTAACCGGTGCTACACCACGTAAAAAGCCTCCCTGTCGACTTCTTTCATCAAAGCGACATATACACCAAGGTAGATCGGACGGTTGGTGTTCACTGCACTTTTAGCTTGTTGACTGAAAGTTACTCACATTGACCGAGTAATTGTGTTACGTAAAATAAAGACGCTGCTGTTTTTTTATTACTCGGGCGTATAACTGTGCATATATAAACACTTGAAGAGTTTGCTTGACACGAGTTCACAAATCTTTAATTAGAAACCTTGCCAGACACTCTTTCTCTCTTTT